GATGTCTTTACTGGGCTGGTGTAGTTCATTCCTTATTTAATCATTTCAGATCAGGAAGACATTGTTCCCGAGCCCGTTCCGCAGGAAGACGGCAAAGGGGACGCCTGAAGACTCCGTAGTCATATTTATAGCTTTTATTTTCGAGTTTCTCTTTTAGTTAGTTTGTTCTTTTATACTTTGAGCTCGTTTTTTGTTTTAGTGTAAGGGATGTTTAATCAAAATTTTTATTTCGCTTCCGCATTTGACCTTTTTAATACACATGTTTCATTTCAAAATTACTCTCAGAATCCTAATTTTCACCATTTTTTTCTAAAATCAATTTCAATTAAATCAAAATAATATTTTTACCCAATTTTACAATTATTGTTATTTTTATTTTTTATTTAATTAAATTAAAATAAAATAAATAAAATAAAATAAATAAAAATAAAATTAATAATAATAATAAAAATAATTTAGAAATTATTGGGCGTTACATGTGAATAGTTCACCAGCCAGACTCCTTTCAAAAACTAGTGAAGATCATCTTAAAATGCTAAGTGTATTATCTTTTGTTTATTTTTTTTGAATGAACATTCCTATAATTTTATTGAAAATTTTAAATTATTGTATAATGAATTTGCTAAACTCTATTATTTTACTTATGCATATAATTGATTACTTTATTTTTTTTTTAATTCTGAACTTTTACATCCTATAAGAAAGATATGCATTTTACAATGTCGATTGGATAAGAAACTTATATTTGTTAAACAAATAAAAGAAAGAAAGAAAGAGCGTAACCATGCCCCACCACGAATGATTCCTTCTTAATCATTAATGGTCTCAAGCAATCAAAGGTAGCTATTAAATTATATATATATATATATATATATATGTGTGTATATAGGCATTGAGGGAGAAAAATTCTAAATTATATATCTAGCATGTATACATATAACAATTATGTATTATATAAGAACTTTCACTTTTTCTTTACTTGTATAATTCCTCTGATAATAATAATAATTAATCATATAATAATAAACACCAACAACTTTCTTGATATCATGGCTTCATGAAAATGGATTAGTAAATCAAGTCCAACATTTTATTTTGTTCAATAAAAAATCGCCTTTAGAAAAAAAAAATTTAAAACCATTAGTATACATTTAACACCATTAGTATCTCATTACATGAAATTGTTATGCATGCTACTGATATATATATATATATATATATATAGTTGTTGTATTATAACGAAGCCATACAGTAATGAAAACGAATGCTGCCAAACTCTTTTTTTTTTTTTTTTAATACAATTAGTATAAACAAAAACAAACCAAGAAAACCTAAATAATAAGTATCTGTGTATATAGCACTAACTATATATATATATACATAGATATATATATGTGTGACATAAGTTGGGGGAGACAGTAAAATCGATAAATGTAAATAAGAGGTGATTTGTCACAGTAGAAATGACGTGGTAACTACAAGCAATGTATATGTCACGGTAGAAATGAGTAATATCCGCCATTGACAATCTTTTTGCACCCCGTCCAAGACGAGTATTCTTGGAAAATTAACTTTAGGGTAATGTAAAGTCTGAGTTTTTGTGATTTGACGAGTATTTTTATATTTAATATTTTTTTATTTATTTTTAGTATTCATATTTGATTATTAATTAAATGATATACAATGTTGAAGACTATTTAAATTATAAATAAATACGCATAGTACCTTTTTTGATTGAATATGTTCTATCAACTTGAAGTCTATTAGCCTTTTAAACCATTATATATATATATATATATATATATATATACAAATTCTTCAAATTTAAAATTTGAGCATGTAAGACAAAAACACATTTCTAAAAGGAACACGGTTTCTCTTGTATGATTCTATTTTTTTTACCTTAAATCGAAACTCTTTGTATTTGTAGTTAAAAAAGATATCTTCTTACTCAAGCTTTTAAATTAATTGAGTAGATATATAGAATAAAGATTTGAAGTTAAATGTGGTAAAAAATGTTTTACCCACTCAGATTAAAAACGTGCCCTCTCGCATAAACCCGGAGTGATTAACTTTTTAATAATGATGAATTTAGAACAAAAATTTTAAAGAGAAGATTAATTATAAAAGGTTGTCAATATATGTGTGAAATAATTAATTTAGATCTCTAAAATGCATATATATATATATATAGGTATATGTATAGAGCACCCCTAGTATTATTTAATATTGGACCTACTCGCAATTAACACTTCTTAATTACCAACCTGCAAAGTTTGATCTATTAGATTGTGAAAAGACAATGTTGTACGTCGTGGTACAACCTTCAGTCCTGCAGGCCTTTTTCACGAATGAAATGTGAAAATTGATAACACAGGATTGGTCATCAGTTCTCCACGGAAGCCCTGCTGTCTATATATACATATATATATATATATATATATTATCTTAATAACAGACAAAAGTTTTTTTGCATGTTCAACGTTTATGCCCATCTCACAATTTTGATCTTTTATGTGTTCTATTTTAATTTTAAAAATAATATATTTATGTATTCTTTTTAATATGTGTACATGTATGTCAATGTGGTTAAATTCACTTATTTAATTATATTTTTAATATTCTCTAATCTATATTCAAAAAAATAAGCATAAATATAGATGTAAGAATAATTTTAAAGAGTAAAAAAGATAAGTTAAAAATAATCAAAGTGGGTGGTACGCGTGTGGGAAAAAGGGAGAGTAAATATTTACAGGACTGTAATTTTACACATTCTTTTTACTGTTACCTTAATTTAAAAAGGAATTATAAAAGTGGAGACAAACCCATTCCTCCCTTGATGCGGCAACGACACCCAAAGGGACAAACACTTGTCTCCAATTCTGTGATTCTTTTATTGTATACATACATATATGTATGAACTGATGTATATACATCTCTATATATATATATATATCCTGTAAAACGATGTCATTTCAATAGGTCATATCTGTCGCCAATTCCTGTAAGCTCTAACAAAACTTCCCCGATATGGCAATCTGCTACCACAAAACCCTTCCTATTAATTAAACGAATAAAACTTCGCTACTTGCTTTCTTTTTACTCGCCCCGTCTACAATACATATACATATATGTGTATCTATAGTCTTCCCTGCAGCCTGCATGAGAGCAAAGATCAATACTCGAAAGTTTTTAAGAAGTTCAGATATATAGTAATAAAATAATAAATTTGTGAACAAATAATGATATTTTGAATATTTTTTCTTATGTTAATTCTATTAAGTTAATAAAATATTAAAATTATATAGGTAAATTGAAATATTTATTTTAAATTTTTTTTTAATAAATCCGCACTATTTTAGTTAAAATAAATATGATTTTTATTTACCTACAAGTTATAATATTTATACTTGCACTTATGAGATGATTTATCTTTTCAGTTGTATGTATATTTAGGATAATTTCTTCAAAAAATTTATCTTAAATATTTTTGAAGTCTTTTTTCTTGGATATAGTTTGAGATTAGATTAAAGCGTAATTGGTATAATTTGTTTTAATTACTTAAATATGGTGTTATGAAAGAGCAATTAAGAAAAATTAGTTTTATTCACTTAACAGAGTTTTGACTCAAGGAGACTTTTATCTTAAGAAGAAGAAAAAATTAATAATAATAAATAAATAAGAGATACCCCATTTATTGCATTTTATCTCGTTCAACCAAATGTTCCATGTAAGAGCGTGCCCACGCGCATACCTATTTACATGTATGTTTTAACGTATTAAAATTAATATTTTATATAATCAGAGGATTTTCTTTTTTTTTTTTTTAAATAATAATAATAATAATGTCAGTTCATAGAGCTTTTAATTTTAATAGATATGAAATTTATGCTTTTAAACTTGGAAAGTCTTTTGATTGCTTCGCATTTTGAAGACTAAAAAAAAAAAAACGTGTTGTATTTAGTAAATTATAAGTTTTAAACTAAGATTTTAATTAAATTAAAAAATTACATTAATGAAATTTAGTATATAGAAAGAAAAATGCTCTCCAAAAGAAACTGATGCTAATAATATTCTCTCTCTCTCTTTTTTTTTTTTTTTTTCTTTTTCGATAAAGGCTCAATAACTTTTAGCATTTTTTTTTAAGCTTGACAAGTAATATGCTTTTATTTTCTTAATCAAAATCTATGTATATTTAATAAAAAAATCAAATAAGTAAAATATAATATTAACATATAGATGATGAAATATTAGTAAAATATAAAATATAAACATATTTTTACTTCTTCTAAATTTAAAATCTGTGGCTATTTTCTAATAATATAAAATTTATTAGTAAACATGTAAATAGAGAATTATTAAATATAATTATCTCATAATTAGTTAATTAGAAGAATTAAGAAACTTAGAATGGGTATGTGAATATGCTGTTTTGGAGATAATTGTAAATGTGGTTTCCCACCAAAGTCTTAACTTATATACAGTATGTAGAGATTTTACCTTTTCCACACCAAACATTCACCTATAAATATTGGTGAAGATGTCTTCACCATTCCTTGCACCGAAACTTCTTTGGAGGTCATATTAGTGAGTTTTGTAATACATATGCGTATACAAATATATATTATATTGCAGTAATATTTAATAAATTTAATTAAGAGAATAAAAGTATGATAAAAAGGGTAGAAATTTACTTACCGTAATATATACAAGTCAATTTTTTCTCCTTAAAATATCTTTACGGCAATCATTAGCACAAAAGCCACGTGTTGAAAGGAGATTAGCAGAAGGTCTGAATAGCGGACGCGTCTTCAGGCGCGTGCGTAATACGAAGAGAGCGTGGAGGAGGGGGGCCGCCGGTGGTGAATAGTAAACATGTTACATCCATTGGGGCCACCATGTGATTTTGCGAATACTCTCATCACCTCCACCCTCTCCCTCTCTCTCTCTCTCTCTGTAGCGTTCACAAGAGAGAAGAGAATTTTTTCTCTTTCTATTTTTTCTCTCTGTCGAGTTTTTTTATTTATTTTTTTTTTTTTGAGCAATCAGTTTCTTTCCTTTTCCTCTCTGCTGCTCAGCCTGAGAGATGTCGTACTAGCATTTCTTCTTCTTCTTCTTCTTCTTTTTTTTCATTCATTCATTCATGTTCCCTTTTTACGTCCCATCATCACTCTTTCCTTTCTCCCCATTAAACAAACACGACCTTCCCTTCAACCTCTTCCAAGCTCATCTCTTTCTCTTTCAACCCTAGCATGAACTAATCAAACAGATACCCCTAGTGAAACCCATCGTTACTTCCGTAATTAATTCAGATATATACCCAGCTGATCAGAACTAGGTAAACAAAGCCCGATCGTTACTAGTATATATAATTACCGCCATCAATCCATGGACTCAGCCTCTGCAGCTGGCGGGGGCGACCGGACCGGGGGTGAACCGGGTTCGTCAGCGGTTGGGTCATCGTCATCGGTGGGAGCTTCGGCCGCGGCTGCTTCTGCTGCACCAGAGAGCTCGTCCTCTCCGGCTCCACCGAGCCGGTACGAGTCACAGAAGCGGAGAGACTGGAACACGTTCCTGCAGTACTTGAAAAACCACAAGCCTCCATTGACGCTGGCTCGCTGCAGCGGGGCGCACGTGATTGAGTTCTTGAGGTACTTGGATCAGTTCGGGAAGACGAAGGTGCACGTGGCGGGATGCCCGTATTTCGGGCACCCGAACCCGCCAGCCCCGTGCGCCTGCCCTCTAAAGCAAGCGTGGGGAAGCCTCGACGCGCTCATCGGACGGCTCAGGGCGGCCTACGAGGAGAACGATGGGCGGCCCGAGTCGAACCCGTTTGGGGCTCGGGCCGTGAGGATTTACCTGAGGGAGGTAAGGGAAGGGCAAGCGAAGGCCAGAGGGATCCCTTACGAGAAGAAGAAGCGAAAACGGCATGCCGTTTCGCAGGCGAATGCGTCGGTAGCTGCGAGTACTCAAGTTGGTGGGGCAGGTGGGTCGAGTACCGCCGGCGTTGGTGGAGCAGAGGGTGGTGCTGATGGTGTAGCTGTTGGTACCGCGGCTGCTGCTAATGCTACTCCTACTGCCATATAGGTTTTTTTAAACAATATAATTATTAATCTATATTTCTGGTTAAATTAAATGTGATTATGATGAACTACAATCATATACTATGGATCCCATGAACGAATTTAGCTAGAAAATCTGCTCAAAAAATTTTCTTTCTATCGATCATAGTTTCTTATAAATTAAGTAGTTCCTGTTTAAATTCATTAAACAGGACATTTCATTCATTATAAAACATTTATACTAATTATGGTATATACTCTAGATTTTGCATGTATCTATACATAAAAGCATATATTTGTTACGAATTAAAAAAAAATTGGTACTAGGTCTGTATATATATATATATATATATATATATATATATATATCTAGTAATGTCTGTATTTTTATCAAGCAAACTAATTAAGTAGCTAGTGGAAACGCTAGGAAGAAAATGTTCGATGCATGATGTATTGGGTTTTATTGTTAATTGTCTTTGCCTGGGTAATTACTCTAGTCAAATACACACATATATATATGTTTGTATGTCCATATTCTATATACGGTGCATGTATATATACATAAACATATATAATGAGTGTAGAATATATACAAGGACAAGAAACTAGTCTTTCGATAAAAGAGAGTTAATCAACCAAAATATTATTCTATGTGCTCGTTCATTAATGTTTGTGTGTGTGTGTATATATATATATATATATGTAGATATATGGATGCATTAGTTACTAGTATATTTACAGTGTGGAATAAATTGACCACTTAGTATTATATATATTGTTATAAAATCATTCATCATATATATATTTATATATGTAAAATATTTTGTTATAGTTATTAAGTTTCTTCATTTGAGTTGTCTTGTTGCTCTCCATGGTAGACTGGTTTTGTTCCTACCACTGTTTGCTTTTAGAAGCTAGGTAACTTTGTTTGGGGATGTGGAGACAAGCAGAATATTTTATGCAAGGGAAGGGTAAGAATTACTGATACCATACTAATTTTTCATTGGACGCGATTATTGAAGATGAAGCTTTTTTATTTGAAAAAAAAAAAAAAAAAAAAAACTGATTTAATTTTATAATTCGCTTATATTTAATTCTTATGTAGGAGGCTCCTGATTGTATTTTCCCTTTTCTTTTTTACGAGATTTTCAATCATTGCAATCTTGAATGATTAACCTACTTTCTAATACACAATACAGAGTTCCAAACTATGTGTGTATGTGTGTGTGTGTGTGTATATATATATATTTGCTGAAAAGAAAGTAAAAACATGAAGTAGTAACCTATATATATATATATATATATACATATATTGTCACTGGGGGGAGTCGCTGGGTCGGAGGAGGCGTCTGGTTTTCAGGTGAGTCTGTGTTGACCCGCGGAGAAAATCCCTCTTCCTTTATCTTGTGTTTCTTCTTTCCTGTTGATGGTGTACACGTGCATCTGCTCATCATAGTCTTCCCCCTGCTACTCTCTTTTGGACACTCACAGTTTCAGGTGCCCTCTCCCTTTATATATATATATATATATATGGACTTGTAAAAACATACGCATATATACATACACGTAATATGTATGTGTGTGTGTATATATATGCATATATTCCAACTAGAAGTTGGACTCCTGTTAATTTTCAGAATTTTAAGATTCTGGGTTTCTGAATTCTGGGTTTTCTATATTTCAGAAGAGGTCTATTAATTATTTACTCTTGTGGGTTTTCTTTTTCTCTTTCTTTATTGAAGACAACAACCGGAGAAAGGATAAATCAGGGATGCCTGCCCCTCGAAGACCAATATGAATGAGAATATATATATATATATATATACAGCAATATAATATTATAATGTTATTGTATAGTGATTGCTGCTCTCATAAATGGGTGATTAATTTATTTAATTAAAAATGGGTAAGCACAACCTCAGTGTGAAAAGCAATCAGTAGCCAACCCCTTCAATTCCATGCCTTATAATATCACAATTCATAAACACTTGCTATTATTCTATTTTGTAATTATAATAACATTGACCCCACCATTACTATTCTCTCTCTCTCTCTCTCTTCCCATCCTCCCCAACTAATTAAACCCATATATATAGCATTGTACACGCACATCCAATTATAAAAATCATATTATATATATATATATATATTTAATTTGTTACTACATTAAATCATCAATTGACCTACTAGTGATGATCTTAATTAATTAAATTCTTGAGGGCCCAGAAAAAAAATAAGATGACCCTTGATAAATAGTTGTGTACTTAGTGTGTGTGTGTATATACATATATATATAACGCTGTCTTTTTCTGGAAAAGAAAATACAGAATATTAATTAGTAGAGTGTGTAGTAGGTAGGTAGTACTGGATGAGAGGTATTGTTATTTTTTTTTCGTTTGANNNTTCACTTTTAACCCCATAATATCAATTATATTCTTTAAAAGTCAAAAAAGTTTAAGCAATCACTTCTTTATTTTAATGCCTTCTCTTTTTCTTCTAATCTCTATGTTTCTTTTTGGTCTTTCTCTCTTATACAGCCCAAAATGTCCATTTGTTATATATATAAAAAAATTTCATTCTACTTCAAGAAAATTGACTTGGGTCATTTGTACATTTTTTTTTTTTTTTTTTTGTTTTTTATATTAGTGTTTTGTTATTTGAATGACAGAGTTCTTTTTATCTAGTTTCAGAAACTCAGTTTTTTTAGTATATCCTAATAATTTTAGTTTAAATTTTTTTAAGGTTAATCTATTAGGTTTAGAAAATTAGTGAATGAAAGTTTTTGGATCGGAATCCATTTCATCACGTACAGTTTTGGATCTTATTTTGTTAAACCCATGCGCTCTCGGTACTTTTAAATAATCTTATTAACCATCTCATCAAACGTTTATAATTATATTAGAATTTGCTTTTAATTCATCTTTTATTTATTCCCGAAATTATAGAAGGAAAAAAAAAAGTCAAAATCAAAAAGTTGACGTGTTTAATGTGTTTGATGATATTTGTTTGTCTTCATCTTGAAGATATATATATAAATATAATTTCATATTGTAATAACATGTTTAAAAGAAAAGACTTGTTAAAGGGAGAAATTTCACGACATAAATTGTAAGAAACATGTCATCGTTGCTTCTGGAACTTTCTTTTATATATTTTTGTTTTCACTTGTATGCATTCACACTCAATTTAGCCCGTTTCTATTTCATTCATTTCATCAGTAATTAATACATGGAGATATATACACATACATATACATATACATATGCTGCCATGACAGTACTAGTGCTATTGTCCTTATTCACGCATATCGTCTTCTCAAATTTGAAGGAATTATGCCCACTAGCACTTAAATACATATACATATATATATATATATATATCATATCTTATACTCTTAATATACTAACAAATTTTTTTAAGCAATTTAGTTCTAAGTTGGATTAAATGAACCGGCCTAGTTTATTTGTTACTTATTGCTGACCATTTGGAATGGATAAAAGTTTATTTTACGTTAGAACAAAACTCGAAACTTAAAACGTTTGTAAATTATATTTATCTATAAGAAAAGTAGTAAGTAGTTGGGTTATGACTACCTCGGGTGAAAAAACTATTCTGCACAAGGAAACATAAGTGTAAATTGAGTGTTGTACATTTTCTGGTAAATCTACAGTTGAGTATCCAATTCTGCAATATGAGAAGTAGTATAAACACACGTGTTTTCGAGTGACGCCAGTACTATACACAGATATATATATATATATATATATATCTATACACGAGGACAACATATATTTCACGGATCTTCATGCAAGATTTCAAAGGTCAATTTTCAAAACTGACCCTACTATATATATTGTCTTTTTTAACTATTCCTAACCAACCAACGCTCCTATATTTAAAGGAGTACATACATACATATTATATTAGTACATATATATACATGGTCTTTGTCAGGTGCGTGTTAATTTTCTGGGTGATTTTATGGGGTTATATATATATCGGTTTTTTATTGATTTGCACTTTGTTGGTACATATAAGTGAAAGGCCTCGGGTATACAATATGTATATATTACTGTGGCTAGACAGAAAAAATCAGCTAAAAAGCTCGGGATAACCTAAAAAGAAAATATTTTGAGCATATTTTTACATTTTGAAAAGAATTATTGTTTTAAATAAGATAAATGGCAGATTTGATTCTAATCTTCTTTTTTTCTTTTTGAAAAAAAAAAAAAAATCTTGTTGCCTCCTTTGGAGGATATGATTCTTGATTAGCTTACGTAAAGATTTCAATTCGTATTAAAAAATTTGATCAACTTTTCATTGACAATGTCATGGATCGAGATTTTGTGTAAATATATAAGTAAATCCATTGTTTACTGAGTAGAGAAAGACATGAAGAATACTTAATAGAAAATACTTTGATTGAGGGAACAAAAGAATAAAGATGTAATCAAAAAGTAAAAAGGAAGAAGGAAAGATAGAAAAAAGAAACGAAGATAGAAAGAAGGAAAAAGAAAATTGAAGGATTAGTAACAGAATAGGGAGGGCAAAAAGGAAAATAAAATATAAATGTAAAAAAAAATGATATTTTATGGTTTAAAGATAAAAGTAGTTATTTTGATAATTGAAATTGATGGTGTTTAATTCAGGCCCAAAAAACAACCCCAAATAAATTTTTTTTTTTTAATAATTAATTTAAAATAATTTATTAGTTTGTTTTATTTTTATTTAAGTGAAGTTTTGAGAAAAAATGAATTAGAAAAAAGATTGAAAATAATTTTTAAAAAAATGAGTGAAAATTTGGATTCTGTAAGTGTTTTTTTTTTTAAATAGAAACAGTTGGTCAATATATAAATAGAAAAAGAACAGCTACGTAGAACCGCCAGTCAGCAGTCTCGACGAACCAGAGCGCCCCGCACAGCAAGGCGCGCTGACGTCGGTGCCACACGGGAGGTCACATTAGTGATCCGCTCGCCCTGTGATAGAAAAACCAAGGATCCATCCCCCGAGCTTTAACAGGCTGGATCCATTTCTCCTTTAGGTGCGACCAGATCATCAAGATTAATCGCGATAAATGACTTAGATTTTTTTTCTCTTTAGGAGCAATCGAGCGGACAAAATCGATCGCGATAGACGGTCTAGATAAATGCAGGACGG